GGATACATCGATAAAACTATTGGACAATTCAGTTCGCTGAAGATGGTGAACAGGATTCATCCATCAAGCGGACAACTAAGGGGTGGTTGCATCTTCCTCAGCGTGCAAGCGTGGAGGTAGTGTTCCTACCCCCCAGGGAAGTTGAAGGAGGGCTCCTCTCACTCGCAGACCTCGTGACAATTAGCCATGCATTTAAACTATTATTAAATATTATTAACATCTGGGRATCGTGGAGTCAGGAAATTGACGTGGGATTTGCTGAGGGAGACGGTAGCCTTCAAGTTGAGACACTTTCTCGCTGTGGTCGAGGACTCGCAATGCCACGAGAAGAAGGAGGGCAACGAATTTTGGAATCCGGTGGGAATGGTGTGGGGAGAACCAGGAACTCTCTCCCTGATGTGCCGAGGAGATAGGAAACGATTTCGCATGTCTTGAACTACTGCTGTCCTTACTCTGCTACACGGCAGCTCTAAACCAGAAGGTGAAGGATGCGCGATCTCCCAACGTGACGTTGAAGCCAGACACCGTAATAAAAAACGAAGCTGAGAAAAAGATAACGATCATCGATGTCGCAGTTCCATTTCAAAAACCGGAGGGAGGTACCGAGGTGGGCAATATATATTTACTTTTGACATCCTATATATACACTTTAGTAATTGTTCTATTAAATTCCATTTAAAAATTCAACTAAAAATCCTGTTAACTTCAACAAGAAGAACGTCACCCATATTTCAGGTGATGGGGGCCCCCCACAGAAATATACTCAGATCGTCTTCATTTTCCAATATGATGACTGCTTCGTCGATGTAACATATTATTTTTATATTTTCTTGATTTTTCTATCTTAACTCCTTCTCCAGCTGTTTTCACCTCCTTGATTATTTCGTCCATGATCAGGTTAAACAAGATCGGACTTAGACTGTCTCCTTCCTTGTTTGATTCCGCTTGTTATTGGGATCTTTTTCGTTGTTTCGATAAGGATTATGGAGGCAAATGCACGCTCGGCGAAGTTTTCGCTGTTTACTGTTGTCTTATATGCATAATCATAAATACATAGAAAAAAAAAATAATATTCAGTCCCAAGCCGATCGCTTCAACTTAAAGTAGTTAGCAGTCATAGGGTTAAAACTATCGAAAACATCTACCGAAATAATCGAGTACAGGCAAAGATAAACAACGATTTGGTGGAAAGAGGATGATTCACTGAGTCTCCTACTTTTTAATATTATAATGGATGAAATCATAAAGAAGGTGCGCGGACAAAGAGGATATCGAATGGGGAACCGAAAGATAACAATTTGGAAGACCTGGAAAACGCTGGAGCGATAATCTTACTATATGAAGCGAGAATATGAGGAATAAGCATTGTATCAAGATTTATTAATTTGTTTAATTCTAAAAATGGACAGAACTTTTCCCGGTAGACCTAATATAATATATATATATATATACTAACAATATATTTACGTTCATACATTTATTCATTATCAAATCATCATCATTCGTTCATTTATTATTCATTCATTCATTCGTTTTGCTCGGGTCTTTCTTTTGTAAACTCTCGATTAACTGGCATACGTTTTAAAAGATATTTGTGAAAATTTTTGTCTTTTTTCTTTCTTTTTTTTAACCATTTGGCTGTTGACAGTATATTTTCGAATATATGCCAAAACAATGACACTAATTGCACGTATATGGGAAAAAATGTAAAACACTTGAAAATATATTGGGTCATTAAATATGAAATGTCTGCTTTCTAGATGAAAACAATTCGAGTAATCAGACATTTCATAGTTAATAACCTAATATATAATATTATTACAACAAATGAAAAATCATATGACTCGCAAATACAACGCGTTTCACTAGACATACAAATTTTACTAATTCAGAGTAGCGTTATTGAGCAATCTGCAGTTTTAAGAAAAAGAAGAAAAAAAACAAACATTTAGGATTGAGCCTGCGAGAGAATGAGACCGACAAAAAAATGCAGAAAAAAAAATGTAGATAAAAATGGGAATTCGAAAATCAGCTTAATCAATAATATTTTATACCTAAGTTTTACAAAAAGGATATTATTCTATATTTATTTATTTTACAACGATAAACATTCTTGAAGAATGAAAACGTTGATGCAAAACTCTAGTCCAAGAAAAAACCCAATTTCTATCCTTAATCTTACATTTCTTGGGGCACGTATCGAGGCTTGATAATACCTTCAACAACATTATTATAAATAATAAACTGTAAATTTAGCTAATACCGTATCAAAACTGTACACATTCGTCTCATTCTCTCGAAGATTGGATTTTTGAAAGTTTC